ATTAAAAGTTAGAATCATCTTATCAGGAAAAGTGCTTGTTAACTAAATCTCGAATGTATCGAAGTGGATGAAGCCTCTTTTCCGCGACACTAATTGGCCGTCTCGACCGTCTCGATTGTCTCGATCCCGTCGCAGTTGAATTCGTGCCGCTTGCAGCTGTCAGCCACGGTGACAGATCACATTGTGTTGTTCGCGTCATATAAATTTGATATTTATTGTAATCCCAACCGACACAATGTTACATGTAACATACATGTTAGTTGTAATTTCTTACTCAACAAACAATATAACTGTTATATAATATACGTGTTATATAACAGTTACATTGTTGAATAGGAAATTACAACTAACATGTATGTTATATGTAACATTGTGTTTGCTGGAAATATAATTTGTAAAAACGAGTATTGTAATATAAATTGTAAATAGTACAACGAAAAGGCTAACGTGGCGCGCACGAAGCGCGCGCTATGTGGGGTTCTAGTCATACTATAAAATAACTGCGTAATGAAAATTACGTATACGTAAAAATTTCAAGAATAGGGGCCCAGGGGTTCGATTTTCTAACTAGTTGCATATATGTGAGTTTTGCTGCGCAGGTTTAATCATACCATAAAATAGCTGCGCAGTAAATAAAACTTACGTATACGCAACTAGTTAGAGAATCGAGCCCCAGGGCAATAGTTCTTTGGTCCGTCCTTTTCAGCTGCACTGCTGAACTGTTGCAATAAGTAGAGTGAGAAAAAATATACTTCTCTCACTTTAACTTATTGCATCAGTTTAACAGTGCATCTGAAAAGAACAAACTACTTGTCTAACCGCTGTTGAGTTAGGATGTGTTCAACTTTACAGATAACCTGTAAATTTTGAAACATATTTTAAATTATATTTCCAAAGATTTTAAACTTTATTATTTAATTAGTTGTTAATTAATTAGTCGCAACATAGCTTATTAGGCACTTGGAACCATATATAAAAAGAAAGAAAGTATATAATCAATAACAAAAAGTGTTGCATATTTTTATTAATCTATGTCATAATATAAAGTAACTGTTAGCTTGATACTTTGGGTGTGTTCCTCTATTTACTACGAGTACTGACGTTATGACGTTATGAAAGTATACTGCTAGTAGCGTTCCGTTTTAATTTCGAGCACTACCGAGGTGCTGCAAGGTAACAAATGGGAACGCACCACCTTACTGCCACTGCTTTACCTCTCCAGCTGCAGTAGTTGCAGCAGGAAGTAATATCAAAATTCATGATATCATAATCTCGTTGAAGCAGTGATGTCAGGGTCGTGGGATATCGTCCCAAGATTAGGTCGTAATGCGCATGCGTGTATGACGTCACATGTCATGACAGAGTTGTATTAAATACAAGGCGCATAATAGAATCCAACAAAATTTACATTTATCTTAGTATTTTAATAACAAATGTTGATATTCCTCTCGTAAGTCGACTGCAGATGCAACATAATAAATTTTATTTCTATCTATATCAATTTACTATATTCTTTCCTTCCTTACAACTTTTTTCTTTCACTTTAGGGCCAGCGCACGAACATTGCCGTAGTTTCTTACGTCATCTTACGTGATAACCTTACGTTACGTGAGACATAAGCTGAATGTACGGCAACGCACGAAAGAATATATATATTCTTTCGTAACGTAACGTAACATTTTCGTGCGTTGCCGTACATTCAGCTTACGTCTCACGTAACGTAAAATTGTCACGTAAGATGGCGTGAGGAACTACGGCAATGTTTGTGCACTGGCCCTAATCCTCCTTCCATTTTATCTTTTTCACAAGCGTTCCAAAGATACCCTCAAATGTCCAATCCGACAACTTATCGTAAACACCCTTACTGTATTATAGAAAACTAGTTTATTGGTTGCATATTAGGTTTGTCGAGTTGCTTGTACTATTCACACTTTTACACCTAATGCCCGTTGCACACTAGTGTATTTCATACAATACAAATTTTCCAAAATACGTTCTGAAGACGCTTTTAGGGACGATGAAGGGATGTTATCAGAATATTTTTAGGACGTCCTTTGAAGATGTGAGCTGTCTGAAAATAGTTAATATCCAATAAGTTTATTTACATTAATTGAACTTTTTACACTTTCACACTTAGTGCACATTAATTCTTTAGATATTCTAAAAATGATGTCATGAGTTCCGTTCGTGTTACGAGTGTAATTGCAATTTTGATACACTTTTTACACTTGATCCAAAGCAAGAGTGAAAAGTGTATCAGAATTGCATTTACACTCGTAACACGGACGGAAAACATGACGCCATTTTTAGAACCTCTAAAGAATTAATGTGCACTAAGTGTGAAAGTGTAAAAAATTCAATTAATGTGAATAAATTTATTGGATATTAGCTATTTTCAGACAATTCACACTTTCAAATGACGTCCTAAGAATATTCTGATGACGTCCTTCCGTCCTGAAAACGTCTTCAGAATATATTTTTGAAAATTTGTGTTTGAAGTGCACTAGTGTGCAACGGGCATTAGGTGTAAAAGTGTGAAAAGTATAAGCAACTCGAACAAACCTATTATCTTACAAGATATTACAGATAATATGTGACCAATAAACTGGTTTTGTGTAAGAACCTTTGCACGTAGAAAAATTTTAACCCTAACCGTAATGGCTCCTGCACACAGGACGCGATAATGCTTGCCGCGCGGCTGAAGTCCGCGCGACAGCCAATCAATATGCTGTTTTCCGTAATAACCTTCTAGTTCTTACGGAAAAACAACATATTGATTGGCTGTCGCGCGGACTTCAACCGCGCGGCAAGCATTACCGCGTCCTGTGTGCAGGAACCATTACCCAATCCTTACATATCTTATCCAACCTAGGTGTAATAAGCTTTAAGCCTTAAGAAACTGACCAATCATAGTCGATTATTCTCCTCAAATTTGATTGTAATTGGTCAATTTTTTAAAATTT